AAGTCTAAATAGTTCATACGTTTCTTTTTGTAGGTTTAATTTCTGAATTGGGCACCATCATGAGGTAGTAGCATCATAATAAAAGGGGGGAGCTTTTATTGCACAAAAAGTTGGAATCATTAATCTAACCTAACAATAAATTTCCTTTTTGAAGGCCAACTGATAGCAAGGGCCCATGATGAATCTTCTCTTTTCTTTTTCTATTCCTGAAATTAATCCCTCCTTTCTTCGTTTTGTTTGGCTAACTTTACCGCTATTAGTTTCACTTATATTTTTCTTTATTTATATGCCAGTGCTTCCAAATTGTGGACTGTATTTGAAATAAATTCGTGCATTTCACTTGGAGAAATTATATATGGGCAAGGGGGGAGGGAGTATGACCCCAGGGAAAGAGATGGAGCTTTCAAATTATTAATGGTTTTTAGTGCTCAGAGTTGGACTGGTCTTGGTCCAATTCCCAGAGCAAATAATGAAAACTGCGTCAGAAGAGAGAGCAAACCTGCATTGCATACATATCAATATTTGGTTTTATTCATTCAGAGAGGCATTTCTCCTCCATTTCCACCAAGGTCACACAGACAGAGTCTTTGGTTCCTCTCCCAATGCCTTTTTTTCTCTGTATTCATTCAGACCAACCTTTGGATTCTGTGACAGAGTGAAAATTATAAAGTCGTACATAGTAATGCATAAAATTTGCTTTTACTAATTTCAAATATGCAATCTTACGACACATAAAACAAAAAGAATGGCTAAGCCCAAGATAAAGGGATTAAACTAAGCACATAGAATATTACACCACATACACTCTGCACCTTCTTTTGAAGCAATTTTGGTGATATTTTATGTTCAAAACCTCACAGATCCAACCCATATCACTAGATTCCCCATCTGTAAAGCTAGTTCATGGGAGAGAGAAATATGGAGATTGTATCCCTAGGGTAGCAGACTCAAAGCAAATTATGTTTCCCTTCTTGGCTTTAACGAACTACATCAAGGTAAAGTAAACAAACCAGTTTCTCTTGTATCCTGAGAGATTTATTCTCATGATGGTTTTCTACATGGATCAAATTAGATAAAGGCTTTCTTGTTTCCAATGTAAGATGTACACCCTTTAACTATTCTTATTACTCCTATTCAAGTTCCTCCACAGTGAAAGCGAGGGTCAGGTTCTGAGTTCTGACTTAGGGAGGCCCACAGTTAGAAGATGATGATATGACTTTCACATGTAGATTTCTTTCTGCTTTCAAAAGTCTTACTGTTACATTCATCTGCTTCTTCAAGGAGACCATCCCAACCACAAATTATTTGCAACTGATTACACTCCATACCAAGTATCCAGAAACAAGATCAGTTTTCTTTTTCTCCTGATTCCAATCTGGCAAATATGGTTCTACTGAATTGAAAACTACTGAAATATAGGCATTTTGTTACCTCCTTGGTTCCTCAAAGCTTTTTCAGAGTGTTCAACTCCTAAGCTTTTGGAGACTCCTCATTCATCACTTTGAGAATGGATGAAGAGGAATCCCCTAAAGAGAACCCAACTGTTGATACTCAGTCCCTTACCATCAAGATTGCAAATTCGGGCGGTAAGAAACTGGGTAAGGACATTTTCTCCACTGTTCTTCCTTCAGGTCAGCAGAAATTGGTAACAGATTCAGCCACATCATCACCATATAACTCTCCTTCACTCATCTCTCCTCCATCTTCTGCATTTGTTTCAGCATTGCAATCGCCTTACATCTCCCCAAGGGCCACTTTAGTTACAAATCCAAGTGCTCAAGAAAACCTCATTGCTCCCACCATTTTAGTTGCTAATCCAAACCAAGAAACTCCTATTGCTCCTACCTCAGTTGCCCACCCATCCCCGCCAGTCTCATACTGCGGTTCACAGTCCGATGATGTTCCCAGCACCTCCTACACTCCACCTCCAGAAAGATATGATTTTTCTGATGACCCCACCGACACAAAGCTCAAAATTGTCACCTGTGTCCCTGTTTCAGGACCAGAGACTGATCCCAGGATATCCTTTTCTTTTCCTGTCCCTAGAATTTCTTTTGCCAAGGGCTCCATTTCACCTGCATCCAATGCCAAACTTAGGAGCTGTGATGTGTATATAGGATTCCACGGTCAGAACCTAAATTTAGCGCGCTTCTGCAAGTGGCTCAAGTCGGAACTCGAGCTTCAGGGTATTGCTTGTTTTATTGCTGATAGAGCAAAGTATGCAGATAATCAGAGCCATGAGATTGCTGACCGAGTTATATGCTCAGTAACCTTTGGCGTCGTAGTTGTCACCAACTGTAGCTTCTTCAACCATCTGAGCTTGGAGGAAATAAGATTCTTTGGGCAAAAGAAGAACTTGATTCCTTTGTTCTTTAATACGGATGCCAATGAAATTGCAAGTCTATTTAACCGAAATGCTGATGCCAAGAAATGTAAAGAGGTACTGGATGCAATACTAAAGTGTCATGAGTTTAAATTGGAGACAAATGAGGGTAATTGGAGGTCCTGTGTGTCGAAAGCAGCTGGGATATTAAGGGCCAAACTTGGTAGGAAAAGTGTTGCAGAAAAAACAGCAGAAGGGTTTGAAGAGTTCCCCTTTCCGAGGAATAAAAGTTTTGTGGGAAGAGAGAGAGAAATTATGGAGATAGAGACTACTCTCTTTGGCTGTGGGGATTCCTTTGAGCAAGAAAGTGTGGTCCCAAGTGTCAAAGGAGGAACACCAGGACAATCTGAAGGTCTAGCTGATGATGAAAGTGAAGCTGATGCTAGCAGAGGCAAATATATAAATCTAGAGATAGGAAAGAACAATGAAACCAATAAAGAAGCTTGGGTGGAACCAATTATTGGAAGAAATTCGCTGAAGAGACTTAAGTACAGAAAATCAAGAAGCGGGAAGGACAAGAATTTGGGGGCCAGTGTTGTGTGCATAAATGGCGCCCCTGGTGTTGGAAAGACTGACCTTGCTTTGGAATTTGCTTCCAGGTATTCACAGAGATATAAGATGGTCTTGTGGGTAGGGGGTGAAGCTCGCTACTTTCGACAGAACATATTGAACTTGTCTCTAAATTTGGGCCTGGATGTGAGTGCAGATGCAGAGAAGGAAAGAGGGAGGATAAGGAGTTTCGATGAGCAAGAATTAGAAGCATTCAAGAGAGTTAAAAGGGAGATATTCCGTGACATGCCATATTTACTAATTATAGATAATTTAGAGACTGAGAAGGAGTGGTGGGAAGGGAAGGATCTTCATGATTTAATACCAAGTAACACTGGTGGTACCCATGTCATTATCACAACACAGCTCAACCAGGTAATGAACGTTGATCCCTTGCAGCTTCAGCCCTTGCCCACATCCGATGCCATGATATTGATAAGGGGAAGACGTAAAAAGGAGTATCCAGCAGGAGAGGTGGAATTCCTCCAAAAATTTGATGAGAAACTTGGGAGGTCGAGTTTTGGTCTTTGGGTGGTTGGTTCCTTGCTATCAGAGCTTGCAATTTTGCCGTCTGCTCTATTCGAAGCAGTGAATCAGGTTCCAGTTGAAGAAGCCACAACTTGCTCTAATTTGTCCGTTCCACATCAACAGTTCTGCAGAACAAATCCATTTCTAATGAAAACACTGGTTTTCTGTACAGCCCTCTTGCAGCAAAGCAACGATAGCAGGGACTCCCTTGCCTCAAGAATGCTTCAGGTAGGAGCATGGTTTGCTCCAGCGCCCATCTCGGTGAATTTACTGGCAGCAGCTGCAAAGAAAATTCCTGTAAATAGAAACAGATTCAAGATGTGGACAAAGTGCATGAAAGTTGCTCTATGCTTCTACTCGGGCCATTGCCTGACAAGCCAAACATGGAAAAGTGAAGAGGAAGCAGCACTACTTCTAGTTAAACTGGGTTTGGCACGAAAAGCCAACAGGCAGCCTGGATGCTGGATCCAATTCCATCCCATCACTCAGATCTTTGCTAAAAGGAAAGATGGATTAGTTGCTGCTAAAGCCAATGTTCAAGGTGCAAGGAAAATTGGAAACCCCCAAGTAGATTCTGACCATCTCTGGTCATGTGCTTTCCTTGTATTTGGTTTCAAGTCCGAACCACCAGTCATTCAGCTCAAGGCCATAGACATGGTTCTCTTCATTAGAAAGACAGCTCTTCCATTGGCAATTAGTGCCTTCACAACATTCTCAAGGTGCAACTCGGCCTTAGAACTCTTGAAGGTCTGCACAAATGTGCTTGAAGAAGCAGAGAAGTCATTTGTTTCTCAAATACAAGACTGGTGCCACGGATCTCTGTGCTGGAAAAAGAAGCTGCAATCCAACCAAAGAGTGGACGAGTATGTTTGGCAAGAGGTGACATTGTTGAAAGCTACCCTGCTGGAAGCTAGAGCAAAGCTGTTACTAAGAGGAGGTCATTTTGATAGCGGAGAGGATCTCTGCAGAACCTGCATTAGCATCCGAACCGTAATGCTGGGTCATAACCATGCTCAAACTTTGGCTGCTCAACAAACATTAGCTAAATTAGTAAGGATGAGAAGCAAAATATGATCCCAAACTCTACAGAAAGCCACACTTTTTTGTGGCTCAGTTTTGTTTACTGTGACCATGCAATTCACTCTGTTAGTTTATGTAACATAGAAATCATCCATTATCAAGTATTTTTCACCACATCAGTTCAAGACTTCTTTCGTTTCAGCAATTTACTGATTTCGTCTAGAAAATTTAACCAATGCCACACAATCAACCTACAACATTTGCAGTATCCTTCCTGCCAGAGACGGAATAGACATGTCTAGTGTTGTTCTAGTTGGATGAACCCATGTCTCATGGCATTTGATCACTCATTTACTACGCATTAGTTCTGTCTCATTAAGCAATTAAAAAGATAGTCATTTTAGTTATATTCACAACCCTGGAAGAAAAAAGGCAAATCAGCCATTAAAAATAGGATATTGTTTAATTTTCTCAAAACAAAAAGTTCATCTTAGGAGAAAAAGAAGGCGACTGGAACAAATAAAAATGGACAATATTGTTCATTGAGACAATCTTCAAAATAAAACACAAAACCGGAGGCAACAGATTTTCCTGTAAACCTTTGGAACCAGTAGCTACCTTACAAAGAAAAACTCTGCAAATTCAACAAGAACAACAAACCCAGTGTAATCCCGTATAGTGGGGTTTGGGGAGGATAATGTATACCCAGACCTTACCCTATCTCAAACACTATCTCAAAGACACACACACACACACACAAAAGAACCAAACAATTTTTCAGTATCTCTTCCTTAGATCAGTACTGCACACCAAATGTATCTTATGAACACAACTCTCAAGTCAAAAATCAACCTTGAAATCAACAAAAACACAAAAATGTAAATCAATTAATGTTGGTGAGTCAGTGAAATTTGCGAGGGCAAAATCAAGTTCTTCTTTCAGCATTCGAAATCAAGCCAGTCGAAACGGCGTCGTCCTCATCCACAAACAGCCCTTCTGGATTCCTCAATAAGCCATGAATCACTGTCACCAAAAATCCTACCGCTACACCAATGAGCAAAGTATTTAAAATTCCTGTGAACCAAGCAGCAATTGCAGAAACAATTACGAGACCCGAAATCACGGCTAGATCGCTAATTTGGTGTCCTAGAACAACCATGGGATCCTCCCGGAAGAACAGAAGAATCAACCACATTGCAAAAACCAAACCGGCGAAAATCAACGAAAAAGGTGAGCCAATAAGTGAAGCGGCTGAGCAAGCAGAGATGACAATGGCATAGTTGATGGAGAAGTACTTGAAATTCCGGCGAATGCGAATTGCAGCATCGGAGAAGGATGCCGGAAGATCGACAGCGCTAGCTCCGGCGAGGAATTCAGGCCACGGTCGACTACGAGAGAGAAATGTAAAGAGATTGTGAATAGATCGGTTAACGACGTCACCGCCGGAAATTGGGATGGTGGTGTAGGTTGCCGTGGCCGTGGCGGTCGCGGCGGTGGTTGTTGCTGATGGCATATTTGTGAATTGGGTTAAAAGTTTGACCAGGTTGTTTTGACCAATACACTAACTACTCATGGGTGCACCTCGTGATGTGTCAGTTTAAAGACGGAAATTTCGTGATTGATAGTAGTAAAATAATAATGGAAGGTTTAAATAATCTTCTTTTCTTATAGCATTATTATTGTCCCCAAGAGCGGGTCAATAAAATATTTTTGAGTAATCCGTTATAACGTTGACTTTCTTATGTTTACTGTTACGCGGCGTCTTTTTGAGATTCCTTCCTTGAAAAGCGACATGGCTTAGCAATCGATGTTCGTTTAGTTACTATCCTCCAATTGGGGTCCCCTTCGTACGCTAGACGAGATTGTCAGTGACATTTGGAAAAACCAATGTCAAAAGTAATTGAGACAACAGAAAAAGAGAATTTAGAATGAAAGAAAACTTGATTGCATTAATGAAAACTATTACAGAAAAGCAACATGGTGTCGAGGGGGAGAGATACCAGTACAGAGAATTGTTTGCTTGCTAGAAAGTTTGATTACTTGATCCCCCTAATAGTGCTTAAAAAAATAAACCAAAGTTATAAGACTTGACCTAACTAAGCTAGAGAGACATAATGAAAATACATGGAATAAAACTACTCTATATTTACATTGAAAAGGATTTAGGTTCCTAAAAAGTAGAAGCAGGTCCTTTGGCAGTAACCTTGACTTTAGAATCAGAGTCTGCGTGCGCGACGCTATTTTCATCTGCTTGCGACTGGGCGCAGGTGAGAACTATCGGTGGGGCAACATAGGCACATGCGCGCTTGTCACTTAGCGCGGCCAAGACCACGTGGAAGACCATAGCGCTAGGCGTTGGGAGGCTTGCTAGGACGTCATGGGGCATGTCCAAGGAGTTATGGGGCATGGCTGGAAAGCATAATCATCGATTAGGCTCTTGTAGGCTTTGAGGTTTGTTCCCCTCTCCCAAATATTCTCCTCTGCATCACAGCCTTGCCATTTCACCCAGAATTCTTGATGATATTTCCTTGAAGCATGAACCACTCGATCATCGACAATAGCTTTTACCCGCCTTTTCCCGGTTGAATTAGGGCCTCAAATACTGGGTACTGTGAGTTGACTCCGTGAAGGATCCTCCACGTCTTCCCAAAAAGGTTTCAGAAGACTGGCATGGAAGATTGGATGAATCATCCACTAGGCTGGGGTATCCACCCGGTATGCGACTTTCCCAATGTGCTTCTCAATGGACAAGGGTCCAATGTATTTTTGCAATAGACGAGGATCATGGACCCTTGCAAACAAGTATCTCTTTGGGATTTTCACCATCACTTTATCTCCTACTTGGTATTCATCTCCTCCTTGGTATTCAACAAAGCGACGATTTTGATCAATATACTTCTTCATCCGCTTTTGGGCTTTTACAAGATAGCTCCGCACTATCTCTAAATTTCGCTTTCACTCATTCGAGAAACTAGCAGCTTGAGGAGATTTTGACATGTTTGGGCATTCACAGTGTGTGGGAGTAGCAGTGGTTGTCCGGTAACAATTTCAAAAGCGCTCTTGTTTGTACTAGAGCTCTTTCGTGAATTGAAACACAGTTGAGCAACATCTAGAATTTTCACTCAATTCTTCTGCGATCCGGTAATAAAATGGCGGAGAAATTCCTCCAGCATGCCATTGAACCGCTCCGTCTCGCCATCAGATTGCGGATGAAAACTTAAATTGTGACTCAATTTGGACCAGAGGTACTTAAAGAGCTAAGGCCAAAAGTTGCTAGTGAAGCGAGAATCGTGATCACTACTGATGTCTTTAGGTAGGCCCCAATACTTGACAACATGAGAGAAGAATAGTTGAGCTGTATCTTCTACTGATATTATTGTGGGGCTGCTATAAATGTAGCATACTTGGAAAACCGATCCACCACAACTAAGATAGTTGTAGGATCTCCGACCTTTGGCTATCCAGTGATGAAATCCAGTGAAACGCTTTCCCAAGGTCTCTTTGGAACAGGTAATTTCTTTTAGAGTCCTGCTTGTATCAAGAGGTCTGACTTATCTTTCTAGAATACTAGGTAAGTCTTCACATCCTGAGCAACATCATCATCCATTTGAGGCTAATAATAAGCACGACGCAATAACGTCATGGTGTGTTCTTCACCTAGATGACTGGACCACAAAGTATCGTGGCATTCCATTAGAAGAGTTCTTCGTAGATCTCCTCCTTTAGGAACATAAAGTCGGTTCCCTTTCACCTTCAAGAACCCATCTTCCATGTAGAACTAGCAAGTCTTGCCATGTCCTACCAAATCGACCAAATACTATGCAGCAGGATCCTTTGGGAGTAGATCTTGTATCTGGTCTCTTATAGTGGTGGCAACTTTGCTCCCCCTTAGGGTGGAGAGTAGGCACGTTGATGCTAAGACAACCCTCCGACTGAGCGCATCAGTAACCTGGTTAGTCTTCCCACTTCAGTACTCTAGGTTGAAGTGAAATTTTGCTAGGAAATCCTGCCATCTGGCCTGGCAGCCAATCAACTTTGGCTGGGTCAGGAAATGACTAAAAGCTAGGGGTGGTCATCGCTCGGTTCGGTTCAGTTATGAATATTATTGGTTTAGCATATCGATTATCGATTAACAAATTTAATAAACGATAACCGAACCGATAAGATATCGGTTATCGGGTATCGGTCAATCGGTTATCGATCACTATCGGTTCGGTTATCGGTTTACCTGATAAGATAACTCAATCTAGAGTTAAGCAAAAAAGAGAAGACAATTCACTGGAGTTAAGCAAAAAAAGAGAAGAATTCACATATAGTATACTATCCATTTCTGTGTTTTTGTCCAGTGACCACAACTGGAATAGTCTTCAATAACAGTTATCCAAATACATTAATAATAATACAAAGTAGTAGCAATTTCACCTTAAAATTAACAAGTCCAAACATATAGTACTAACAGTTCAAATTCAAGTTAACAAGACAACAATTACTCAATCCTTATAGGCTTCACCAAAAAATTAGTGGATAAATACTTATCAAACTGCACCAATTCCCAAAAAATGTTTCAAGGCATTAGCTGCCTCGTCCAATATGATAACAACAGTAGTTGATTTAGAATAATTATTTCACACAATACCTGTACTTCCACAAGCGATGAAGCCCTCAAACAGTCCAAGATAAACTGGATGTTGTTTGTCAAATGTCTAACCTGAAAAAAGAAACCATCAAGCAATCGCTATATGAAGATGAATTTTGTTATAGAAATTAAAAGCCTAATGTATAAGACTAAAGACATACACTAGAAGTAACTAGTAAGGTATATGAAGAATGAATACGAAGCAACTGGAGAGTGTGGCTGAGAAAGAATAGGAGAGAATGAACTGAAGCCCTAGCATATGTATATACTTAAGGTTAATGTCATAATTTTATTAAATCATATTGGGCTATCGATTTACCCATCAACAAAATTGGCAAACCGAGGCCCGAAGCGATAATCCAATAGTGAAAAATTCTAAACTGTTACCTAACCGTTAACCCAATAACCCGATATCGATAACCCAATAAACAATTAACGGTTCGGGTTATCAGTTTTACCGATATATGCGCAGCCCTACTAACAACTATGTTGTCTGTCTTGACCACGAACTGGGATCCCAACAGATAGTGCCTCCAAAGGCGTAAGTAATGGACGACAACCAATAATTCTTTTCCGTGGGAGGCATAATGTCGTTCTGTATCCTTCAGCTTCCGGCTCTCGTACGCAACTAGATGCCCTTCTTGTAGCAAAACTCAGCCCAAAGCATAGTCGGAGGCATCCGTTTGTACTTCGAATAGCTTGGCCAAATCAAGAAGGGCCAAGACAGGGCTACTAGACATAGCCGCTTTCAATGCGTTGAAGGCCTCCTCTCGCTTGGGACCCCAATCCCAAGGCGTGACTTTCTTTAGGAGTATTGTCAACGACAATGCAATGAGAGAGTAATTCTTCACAAATCACCGATAAAAATTGCATAGGCCAAGGAACGCCCTCAAGGCGTGGATATCCTTAGGCAGGGGCCAATCAGTGACAACTTGAATCTTCTGTTGGTCCATCTTTATCCGCCATTCCTCGATGACATGTCCGAGGAAATCAATCTGCTTTTGGGCGAATGCGCACTTGGATAGATTCACATATAGTTCGTGCTCCCGCAGTCGGGCTAGGACCTTCCGCAGGTGCTACAGGTGTTCCTCCAATGTTTTGCTATATATCACAATGTCATCCAAGTAGACCACTATGAACTCGTCAATGTACTATCGGAAGACTTGGTTCATCAAAGTGCAAAATGTGGCTGGAGCATTAGTCAAGCCGAATGGCATTACTAGGAAGTCGTACGACCCATATCTTGTCACACAAGTCGTCATGTTCTCATCTCCCTCGGCAATTCAGAATTTTCAGTAACCTGTCTTCAGGTCTATTTTGGTGAACGCTTTAGCACCACCCAATCTATAAAACAAGTCGGACATTAGTGGGATAGGGTACTTGTTCTTCACGGTAATTTTGTTTAGGGCATGATAATCCACATAGAGTCGTAGAGTGCCATCCTGTTTCTTTTTGAATAGCACAGGGGACCCATAAGGGGACTTGGAGGGCACAATAATCCCCGTGTCTAGCATTTCTGTTAACTGGCTCCGAAACTCAGCGTGCTCAGGATGTGACACTCTGTAAGGTGCCTGGGCAGGTGGCTTCGCACTCGGTACCAACTCAATCTTATGGTCCACAGTACGCCTAGGCGGGAGTCTCTTTGGCATGTCCTGTGGCATGCGGTCTTCAAACTCCCTTAGAAACTCCTTCACAGGTGTAGGAATGGAACCCGAAGAGCGTTCAATATCTTCAACACAAAGAGTATCCAGGAATGTAGGTTCATGTCTTTTAACTCCCTTCTTCAACTGCAAGGCCGAGATGTTCTCCGCGACCATCTTTATGGTTGTACATGGGATAATGCTGGGCTTGGCCCCATTGGTTCCCATCATCATCAGCATATCTGCATAAGGTACATGAATGGTGTTGGTTTGCCTCATGAATTCACACCCCACTATCAGCTCGAAGTCATCTATGATTACCACGCGCAAGTTGAATTTTCCTTCATAAGGACCCAGCTTCACTGG